AATAACTCTGTTTTCAATTGTATAAATATTGAGTCATATAGACAAATATTATTTGTGTTGATTTGGTCAAATATAGAGTATTAGTAATTTAAACAGTCCAGTTATCAAATCGGTATTGATTCAGAGTTCAGTTATTAGAACAAAAAAATAATTCATAGCTCCGGTTTAAGTTCTGCTTAATATAATCAGTTTGACTTTTCATTAAGTCAAAGTAACTTTTTAAAAATTATAAGCTAAACCAACTTGTTTTATTTAGTGATTTTTCACTGTTAGGTTTTACAGTGTAGAGCTATGTAGAGTGATTACAAATTTTACATCTCCACTAGAGTTAAGTTGAATTGGTCTGATGGAAGCATTTTAGCTTAGCATAGATCATTTAATCTGATAAAACCATTAGCATCTTGCTCTAAAATGACCTAAGCATTTCAGTAATTTTCCTATTTAAAGCTTAAAGCTTGCCTCTTCTGTGATTACCTCATGTACTGAAAATAGTCCCATTAGCCACAAGATTGACGGAAGTAAGCCAAGTTTCAGGTGCTGTGTAAAATATTTGCGCCTGCTGCAGCTGTTGTATGCTGCAAAGTTTCTTGATTATTATGCTGGAATGAGAGGATTGAAAGTTTTAATTTTTCTGTTGGTCTTAGTACATGATCAAACTGTAAAAGACTCAAGCATTAAATAAGAAAATTATCAACTCTGGTCATTTCTGAGAGAGATGCGAGTAGTTTAACTTTAATCCGAATCAGTGATCTATATGCTAACCCAGAGATTGGTTGAATGGATTGTAAAAAGGTTAAATCCAACACTATCTCACAGCAAGTCGTTATTTTTGATTTAGTGGCTAATTTGTATGAATTGGTACAATATCATTTGTACAGTTTTGTACAATTTGCTCATCCCCCAATAAAGATTGGGTTTGGTGCCACGCCTCCTTGGTAAAATTGTACATTTTCATATGCTGAACTAAATTAACCACTGACATGGCAAAATGTAAAACAGTTACATTTCCCTTTAGAGATCAAGATGAGTAAATCCTAGGGGAGTGTAAAATGAGCCTTTATTTATTTATTTTTTATTATTATTAAAGTAGAGCTTTCTTTTAACACAAATAATATACATGTTTTATAGAAATAAATGGCTCAATTCAAATCTTAATGTTAAGCATAACAAAATTCGGGGGCGACATCATGATTCAGTAATTAGCACTGTCGCTTCACAGCAAGAAGGTCACTGTTGTCCCAGCTGTTGTTTTTTTCTGCTGTGCCAACACCTACTGAATAAAGGAACTAAATCAAATCGAAGGAAACTAAATCAAAATTCTCTTGAAAAAAAAAATATTCATATATATATATATATATATATATATTTATATATATATATATATATATATATATATATATATATATATATATATATATATATATATATATATAATTTTGAAATTAACATTTCCATTTTGAATATGAACAACACAGGTGACTCCTGTATGGAACATGACTTTATAATTGTAGCAAATTATGATAAGTATATTCAATGATACAATATAACTGCATAAGAAAATGTCAAGAACAAGTTTTAAACTTATAAACAAAATTTTATTAGCTTAGGGGAAAATACAGTTGGTCTTAAATTCATTTAAGGTCATTAACTTGCTGTAAAAATAATCTAGGGAAAAATGCAACTAGTTTAACAAATGTATTTTTATACAACTAGATAAAACTTTAAAAACTGGTCTGATCAAGTCCCTGGTAAGAATATAAAAATTAAAAAATAATAAGCCTGCCAGTAGTAAAAATCTAAACTGCTACTTAAAGAGGTTTCAATTCAGTAGGAAAAATGGTGAGGTATTGAAATGCAGAAATAAATGACAGTACAGCAGCTGAAATCTATGTAGGAAAAGGACAGATACATGCATCACATTCACTCATACAAACTAACGTCCTTGATTCTTGCATAAGCAAGGTAAGACTATGCTGCTGGATTCAACTGAGCCAATACCTTCATGCCAGGAAGATGTTTACACAAACATAAATTTTGAACCTCAAAAGACTGTTAAAAAAGGACACAGGTAAGACAAGAAAAAGTTCCAAGGTATCCATTAAATTATGACATTTGTGCTTAATCATGGTTGTGAATCATGTAAACTGGTATTATAGGTTCTACCTAATATTTAGGGTTAATATTATATTTTAAATATAAGGCTGTCCAGTATAAACATATATAATACATGTGATACAACCAGATGTTGTTATTAAATGCATTCTCAGAGCATAAAATGTCAACTTGATTCTGAATATCGTTTACATTCATTAAAACAAGCATTTTCAATCTTCATTTACAGAGAAGGTTTTCAGGTTGTTTAATGCTTCCCGACCACCAGGTGGCAGCTTTCTGAGCAGACTGACACTAGATGATGTGGACGGTGCAATACAGTAGAACGCAGAGATTTTCCATGACAGCTTCATTTCAGTTCCTCAGAAAATATCTCCAGTAGTTTGTTTCGACGTGGACTCAAAAGACATGTACAGCAATCGAACATCTTATATGACTGCTCCACAAAAAAGGTAACCATGAGTTTAATATAGAACACACTTTCACCAGACTGATTGAGAAGTTACTCATTAGTAGGTTGGTCAAAGCTGATAAGCATTCCATCTCATAAAAGTAAAGTTTTTACTTTACATATTTAAATTTCTATGTGTGCAGGTCATCAGGAACTGACATCAATATAATTGTAGGATAAATAAAAATATTGTTTTATAATAAAAACAGTAACAAAAAATAAAGTAGTATTTTACACAATTGGGATGAGATGGACTCAGACTAGAGTTTGTTCAGGGATATCAAAACATTTCAAAAAGCTATCAGCTCTAGGTGTACTTTTCCCGACCAGTCCAGTATGGATAAGGCAGGGATGGTCCAGTCTTGTTCCTGGAGAACCACCTTCTAAAAATGTTTACCCATACATGGATATTTCTTGGAATCCTGTGGACTTTGATTAGCTCGTCTTGTTATGTTTAATTACTGTTGGAACTAAACTCTGCATTCGAGAGTAGTGTTGGAAACCCGTTGGGTGGGTTAGGGTTGGGGGTAAATGGTTCGCAAATCCAGTTCTGAAGGATCCCCAAATGTACACATTATGGATTTCTGACACAACCATTTCAATTCCTGAAGTCTTAACAAGCTGCTGAGTTGAATCAGGTGTAAGGCATAAAAATATGCAGAGTTGGAGGTGCTCCAGGTCTTGGATTGGGAACCACTGCCAAGCCTAATCCTAGAGATCTACCTTCCTGCAGAGTTCAGTTCCAACCCTGTCCAACACAACCTGCCTTTCATCTTCAACTAATCCTTATCACCTTGGTCCAGGTGTATTTGTTTAAACTGAAAAGCAAATTCTGAAGCAAGTAACCAAGTTTGCCAGCAACAACATTGGCTATCTCTACTAGACCAGTAGGGGGGGCACTCTGGTGCTGAAGGGGCACTGTCCTCCTTCATACAGACATGAAAAAGATAACCAATACTGTTTATTTTGGCACATCTGCTGAAATATTTTAATTCCAATTAGTAGCCTTTTGGTAATTAATGAAGAAAATTATGCCACCATGTCATACCCAAATTCCTTTATAAACACTTTACTAATTGATTACAGTTGAACAGAATTCACACATATTGGCATGTGGCTTAGGGAAATGTAGATAAGGTTATTTGAAAAATAACAGGGAAGTGTGTTTGATTAGGTATGGTGCTAAACCTTGAACAAACAGTGGCATTCCTGGATTTGAGCTGCACACTCCAGGCATAAGACTAATGGTTCTCCATCGTAAAGCATCACAGCACTTCATAACCTGGGTGTCTTTTTGTTAATCATTTTCAAAGACCTGGGGCCTCATTTATGAACTGTGTGTATGCTTAGATTTAATCTCTATTAAATCTTTAATCTGTAATGTCATTTATAAAAACTGGAAAAGTACTTATTGAACCACCATGTCCCGGTCTGAGCAGGTGCATGCACTTTTCCTTGTGGCAACATCATACTCATTCATTCATTTTCTTTTCGGCTTAGTCCCTTTATTAATCAGGGGTCGCCATAGCGGAATGAACCACCAATTTATCCTGCATATGTTTCATGCAGTAAATGCCCTTCCAGCCGCAACCCAACACTGGGAAACCAACACCATATTACTTAAGCTATACTGGATATCTAATAAAAAGGTGTGTATGTGCACCAAATTCAAACTGAAACAACAAAGATGCAGTGTGGGAGATCAATTGTGCAGTGTTGTCAGATTTGTTTAGAAGATTAAGCTGAACTTTTAATAGCCTAATGTTGAGAGTGATTTACTTGGATGTTGTAGGTTTTACAGTTTATTCCATGTCAGGGTTTTTTCTATTTTATTTTATAAGCGAATTGGCAACGTCTTGATTTAACGATGCGTAAAATCCACAATAAATAATCAAAATTTGTCATTAGTCATTAGGATAAACTTTATAAAGATAAAGTCATTATTTAACTTCATGTCAATCTAAGACTTTGGTTAGTCTTTAAAACCGTTACTTAAACGTTTTAATGAAACCTGAAAGGTTTCACTTCCACCACTGTGTGTTTGTAGTTAGGTCTCCAAAGGTTTAAATGGGATTTTGAATAAGTGCCCCCCAATGACCTTTTTGGATCTCCTAAGTTTTGATTCTAAGTTTGGACCTTCAAGTTTGGACTGATAGAAACCAATTTAATTTGTGTCCCAAAGATTATTCAGGGTAAGGATAGGAAAACAAATTTTAGGTTTTGCGGCAGCTATACCTTTAAAGATAAGAACCAGCAGCTATGACACTAGACCAGGGCTTTCCAAACTCAGTCCTGGAGGGCTGGTGTCCTGCTGAATTAAGCTCCAACTTGCTTCGGCACACCTGCCAGGAAGTTTCTAGTATATCTATCAAGAGTTTGATTCGCTGGTTCAGGTGTGTTTGATTTGGGTTGGAGCTAAACGTTTTTTCAGGACTTCTTTAGCATCTTCCTGACCACTGGTGAGACCACAGCTCCCAGTGAGTTAGGAGACTGATTGACCCCTTGTTTTTTGGGTAAGGATAGTAAAACACATTTTCAGTTTTGGGGCAGCTATCCCTTTAAAGACAATAACCAGCAACTATGACACTAGAACATCACAGTAAAATAATAAAAGAATAAGATAACCTTGAGTTTGACCCACATACTAAACCCAGAGTGCTTTACATGCCATTAGAGGGAATGGAGTGAAGAACGCTAAGAATTGGCCGTGGACTCTAGGGTGGTTAACTAGATGAAGATACTACCAAGTCAAGCTCTTTAGCATCTTCCTGACTACTGGTCAGACCACAGCTCCCAGTGAGCTCAGGGAAGTGGCTGGCCCTGCTAGAAGGAACCGGTGAGTTAGGAGACTGGTTGACCCCTTGTTTTTTGGCAGGAACCGGTGGGGAATGAAATTTTTCTGCTCTAGGAATGATTGGCGAGCGGATCCCTGGTGAAAGAATCCCTGGACTCTTCCCTGTTGGTGAAGAGGCAGCAGCCAGGTTGCGGTAATCAGTGCCAAAGGGTGAACTGTTGGACTGAGGGAGTTTACTTGAGACTGGGTTTGTGAACCGTGAAAGCACCTGAGTGACAGTGTTGCGGGCAATCTGCTTTGCAGTAGAATTGTCTGGAGGGGGTGGAGTGCAGGCAGTTGGTGAGAGGTCTCGAGGCGAGTGGACAACAGTTCCTCCGTGTTGCTGCTCTGCCTCAGCTTGCTGTTGAAACTTGTGGCGTGCTGCTTGGAATCGCTGGTTAATGCTAGCCTGGTAAGAAGAAGGATAGGTCGGACTAGAGCAACCTAGAGAGGCCAAACGCTTGGTCAGTACAGGAGAAGAGCAAGGAGATGAGCTAAGGGAGGAAGAGGCAGGACTGCTGGGGGAGAGACACTGAAAGCCTCCGCTTCCACCAGGGAGTACTACCCCATTGTCTGCCAATCCCTCTTCCTTACACCTTTCTTCTGCAGGAAATTCTGGTTCTCGGGGAGTGTGGTGACCATTTTGTTTATGTTGTGGAGATGCTTTAGGTGTAGCGATTTTGCCATCAGCTTCTACTTGACTAACAGGAGGTGTGATACCTGAAGTTGCTTTATGTGGGATTTTTAGCTTCTCTTCATTGTCCAACCCAGCCTTTTCTCTTTCTTTCATTTCATCCAACTCTTTCTTTAGACTATTGAACTGCTCCAAAAGCTCCTGGTATCGTTTTTCCTCCTTCAGTAGTTTCCCTCTCATTTGCTCACGCTCTGTATCAAATTCAGCCAGCTTTCGCTCAGTTCTCGCCTCTATCTGCTGAGCCCGAGTGCGTTCGCTCTCTAGCTCCCCCTTTAGGCTTTCCATAGCTCTGCTTTCTTGTTCCAGCTGGCGGCTGAGCTCTGCCACACGCTGGCTCTCCTCCTCAGCGCGGGCTGTAGCCTTCTGACATTCTTTAGCTAGGGTTGAGGATAACTGCTGTTGCTCTGCTAAATCTTCCACAGCTTGACTCGACAGGACTGACCGCTCACGTTCCAGTCGCTCAAGCTGAGCCCTCTCAGACTCCAACTGGTGAGAAAAGCAAGAGATGTCCAAATTCAAGCAAGCAAGTAGAGTCAGATGGAAAAACATTACGCTTTATGAGAACATTGAAGATGAGTATACAACTGTTCTTGAGTGCATAAAGAGAGAGGGAGAATAAAGTGTGTGTGTAACCAAGGACCGGACAGGAAAGACCTTTTACATAATACTGCGGTCTGTACTTTGACCTTACCATTACCTTATCCTTGCCCTATAAAAACACAAGCAAACAATGGAATGCCTTAAATCACGCACACACACACACACTGAATCTCTCATGCACCACAGTTCATAAAAACAATGGAGGCTTTCCTTTGTAAAAGAGGGAACTGCCCCAACACTGTTACACAACAATCACACAAAATCCTGAGGCACAGTACACTATTGTTTTTTTGTTTGTAGTTTAAGATGCATTTATAGTGGTACAGTGTGTGTGTGTGTGTGTGTGTGTACAGTGTTCATATGTGATGTAGCAATGTTGCCAGGTTACCTGCTGCAATAGTCTGTCTCGTTCCCTTTCTAGCATGTCAGTTATGTCATCACCAGCAGCGGCGTCTTGAGCACGTCTTCGTTTCTCTTCTTCTAAGTCAGCTATTACCTGCAGCCATACACAAACACATTCAAACTTCAGGACAAGAAAGACAACTAATTATGATTTAATTGTCCCAATCAATAATAATTGATGTAATTAAAGGCATGAATAATATATTGAGTTAATCTTTTGGTTTAGTCATTTGTTAAAATGACAATGATCTCTTTACAAAAGGACACATTTTAATTGTGGCAGTATTGACTTGCATTCCGTAACCTGTATGACTTACTTTTTTCCATGAAACATACAATAATATATTATGATTTCTGCACAATACAAAGTTGTGACTTCAACAATGCATTTTACTTGCCTTTATGAAACGTATATAAAAAATGAGTTTCATCAAATTGGTTTGTGAATCAAACCCTGTAATTCAAACATCTGCACCCTTTCAAAATATGACTCACCCAATTCACTGAAAGAATAGTTGTGTTGAATTTAGGATTAATCTTCAATACAATAAGTTTCTTTTTATTTCACTATCAAACTGAATGGACCAATCCCATAAGCAAACAGGTCTTAAATACTTCTTCAAAGTTTTTTTCTCGAGTCTTTCCTACGGTAACATGCGATGCATAGTAGGAAACTGCTTTACTTACAAATGTTTTGTGATGTTCAAAACCTGTGCACTAATTCAATTCGCAACTTTAGATGGAAGTTGAGTTATAGTAAAAAAAAGATATATATACATATATACAGGGCTTTACATTAACTTTTTTAATCACCGGCCACTGTGGCTAGTAGTTTTCCAATGTTACTAGCCACTCTGCATTTTCACTAGCCATAATTTTGTTGTTGGGAAAATATATTTTATATGCATAAATTTGACTTTGACAAGCTAAAATTACTTGATTTAAATGATTTCCATGCCTCCTCATTCATTTCACTTTTTATGTGTCGAGTATGCGCTTGTTTAATGCGCATGAGCAAATGGGTTGTGGCTTCATGGTGTTATATTGCAATTATTTGTGTATTTTATGACTTTTCAGAGCTCAAAGGTAAGGATTTACCAAATTTATCTCTATAACCACACTAAACAATAATTATTTCTTAGCCACAAGTTTTAAATGTGTCAAAACAAGCTAAATATAGCTGTATACTATACTTTTTATTTAACAAAACATTTCTAAAAAAAGAAAGAAAAGCAATTGACTTTTAAAAAATAACTAATGTCATGTATCAAAAATATGCACATTTTCTGTCCTTGCTAAAGATCTCTGGGGTCACCAGTTAACTGCACATAAATGGAGAGTTTATCTCCCATTAAAGCAATATTGTAAAAAAAAAAAAAAAAAAAAAAGATCAATAAACCATTTTTACAAAAATAAAAGCAAATAAAACATAAGCAAATGAAAGCAGGTAAAAAAACATACCGTGTGTGATAATGAAAGGATGATCAAATGCTCACGGTTAACTTTAGGCCAATTAATAATCTGTTTATAGTGAAAGCAACCGGTGCTGCTTACAAAAAGACACATTTTGAGCTCTTGAAAGCAGCAGGACTGTGAGTACATGTTCATCACTTTTTGTCTGGTCTATTTGAAAAAGAACCGATCATAGTTGCTTTTCCAGACCCTGTTTGAGACACGGTTGCCTCACGAAAGGAAACGGGAGCGTGCACGCGTTTTAAGCAGTCGCTCGCATTACATCAGCTGTTAGCGCAAGTGATCATCATCCTCTCATTCAGTATTCACTTGCTTTTTTTTCTGCTCGCGTGATCACAATTATCCTACTTCTCGATTCTAAGTTTACATTTGCAAGCATATGAGTCATCCTTATATTGTCGAACCCTGCTTTTAAGAAAACTACAATTTAAAAATTATTTTCAACCAGCCAAAGTGGCTAGTGGGAGCGACTGTCTAACCCGCCAAAGCTAAAATCTACCCACATATATATATATATATATATATATATATATATATATATATATATATATATATATATATATACATACACATACACACACACACTGGTCACCTTATTAGGTACACCTCTCCAACTGCTTGTTAACACAAATTTCTCTGCTGCAACTGTAAATGTATTTAAGCATGTAGACATGTTCAAGACATGGCACAACACATCTAACCTTGAGGCGGATGAGCTACAGCAGCAGAAGACCAGTATGTATGAGTTTGTATATGGTATGCATGACCAAATATTAACTCTAAAAAGTATTATAAAAGCACAGCATTATAAAATGTAAAATCTCAAATAAAAAATCACCTCATTCTAGTAGAAACACATTTATTTAGCAGAGTATGAAAGGAAGTGATTGACATAAGTTGTTTATAGCTACTGGATTAGTAAATCTGCGTAGAGTGCTTGCTTCTCACCCGTCTGTGTCTCCTCTCTGCAGCAGCGAGCTGTTTTAACAGTTTCTCCTTCATGTTGGTGCAGTGGGCCATTACCAGCTTCAACACACCCAGCGGATTCAGACACACAGGACTCTGCCTTCCATCATCCTGAGCCTGCGACAGCTCGCTGTCCCTCAGCAGTGCTACAAACGGGTCGCTGAGGTCATACTGTCCATATCGCTCCTGTACAAATGTGTTTCTCTGTTGTGCCTGAAAGAAAAGTAGAATAAATGTCAATATTTGACCTCACTATGACGTTGGTTTAAGATGTTGGATTTTGGTCACTTTCCAACACAACCTAAAATCAACCACATATCAACGTCATTTGACATCAATATTGGACATCAAAATATCGACATCATCATTGGACGTCAAAATATTGTTGTCCTTGGACGCTGGCTAGACATTGAATTTTGGTCACCTGACAACCTAAATCTATTCTAATATCAATGTCTTATAACATTGTGTGCCTGCTGCGATACCTTTAAGATTTGTCAGTGCCATTATTTCAATTTAGGTTTATTTTTATAGCGCTTTTCACTATAATTACTGTTTCGAAGCAGCGCTACAAACGGTGCACATTATTGCATTACAATCAAATTAAGATAAGTTAAGGTTATTAGTTACCATAAATGTATTAGTTACTAAGAACTTTACTAATTAATTTGTAACCAATAGCTTTTAACAGTTCAAGTTATTATATATATTTAAACATAGTTAACCTGCAGTTATATATTATATAGTATATTTTTGTTTGTTTTTGCTTGTTTGTTTGGCAATCGATGATTTACTCCTCTGTGGCAACCCCTGACAAACACCATTACAAGAGGATGATAGAAAATACAGGTTTAAACTACCAAGACATTTTTTATCAGTCACAACATTCATGAGAAAGTGCAGACATGGCAAGTTACTGCATGACAGACTGTGACTTAGAAGTAATGACGTCAGGCTTATAACTTTTTTCTGAAGATATATTTACAGTGAAATGTACTGTGCACTCCATCATTTTAAAATATCTTTTAAAAGGGCAGGACATGCAGTAAGTCAGGAGAAGTGTCATATTTTGCCACAGAAGGCAAATAGGGTCATATTTCCACAAGAAATCTGAAATTTGAAGCTGGTTTGTGGCATAACAAGAACAGGTGATTTCTGGCTGCAAATTGGCTAACTTTACAGCTAATAAAAACATGTTTACAGCCTGGTACAAAAGATGGCTTTGGTGCATATAACTAATATTAGCCATCATGACAACTGAGGGGGGAGAATTTTTTTACAACTCATCCGTTTCGGTTTTATTAAGTTTTATTAAGTCTGCATAATTAAGGGTGTGGCCACTTGAGAGACAGTCAAGTCTCGCTGTTCTGTCACCTCAACTTATTCCAGCTGATTAGCTGCTGAACTCGCCATATACATCGTATTTTTGATTTGTTTAATGTTTATTTACAGTCAGTTGCCGTTTGGAATTATTTCCTGCAATTATCAGATACTACACCATGCTGTGTGCACTTAATTGTGTTCACAAACCGTTCAAGTTGCCTCCATTTCCCAGGTAAGTGAAATCATATACTTATATACTATATCTAAATGTATTTGTTTTATTTAAGATAATTTATGGAATGACGTCAGGCTTATAACTTTTTTCTGAAGATATATTTACAGTGAAATGTACTGCACATTCCATCATTTTAAAATATCTTTTAAAAGGGCAGGACATGCAATAAGTCAGGAGAAGTGTCATATTTTGCCACAGAAGGCAAATAGGGTCATATTTCCACAAAAAATCTAAAATTTGAAGCTGTTTTGTGGCATAACAAGAACAGCAAACTACCTTGCTGCTACCAGTACTGCAAATGTTATTCATGTTAAATTATTATAGTTGGTTTAGATGATTAAGGTTTTAGGCCCAAGCATTTTTTGTTTTTAATAGATGTCTAATAGACATCTAAACATAGCTGTCTTGGCTAAAACAAGGCTAAATTTGGGCAGGCAGTGAAAAATTAATAGATGTCTAAGAATAAGCCAAAACTACACTAGTCATCAAATAAACAGTAAAGAGCGACTACGTATATAATGTCTGTATAATCTGTCTATTTTGGTCTGTTCTTAAATGTCTATTAGATTGTCACTGACAGCCCAAGTTTAACCTTATTTTAGCCAAGCTTTCTACGCTTAGATGTCGACTAAACACAACATTGTTTGCTGGGTACTGTTTTAAAAATAATCAATTTGGCACCAGTATTGTACAAAAACCAAAATCATACCCAACCCTATTTGATCCTGAGGTAGTTGAAAAAGAATTAAAGAAAACACCCAAAAAGTATCGCAGAGGATTATATTTTGAAGAAAGCTAGAAACTTGTTACCATTGACATCCATAGTATTTGTTTTTTTTACTATGGGAGTCAATGGATACATGTCATAAATGTTAATAACCACTTGAGGGTTAGTAAATATTGGGTACATTTTCATTTGTGGGTGAACTATTCTTTATTATCAATGAAAACAGTAGCATGTCTTGACCGACCACTTATGTAGAAATCAAATGAATGTTAATAAGTGGAAATGGGTAACAGATTTTTAAACACACATTGACGCAAATACAGCTGGCCTCTATCAGATTCATTTTCTCAATCTAATAGCAGCCCTGACCCCTCCTCTGCAGGCAGGTGTTAAACCTCCCCTGGGCCGTAGCGATGGAGAGAGGGGGCTCATGCCACAAAAGGCCCAGCTGTGGGGGGTGTTGTTCGCTACTCATTGTGCATGTTTGTGCTTGTGTGAGGGCTGGAATTGGGGGCAGTGTGACTAATTTAGAAGGGATGGGGTGGTCTCACTAAATAGATCAGCAGATGGGAGGCGCACACGCACACACTAACACATACTAAACGAAGGACTGGAATAGACATGTGGTTTATGTTCTGGGCGATAGACATGCTGTATCCTGCAGTATTTCTTATTCCTCTCAGTCTCTTCATGCTGTTCTTGAGGTCACTACATTCTTCTGTCTTTGAATCGTACTTCATTTGTGTGTGTGTGTGTGTGTGTGTGTGTGTGTTTGTGTGTGAAATTTGTTGATTGGATGAACAATTGGATTGGATTTAGATATGATTGGACTGAATGTTTGGAGCCAGCACGGTAGCACAGTAGGTAGCACAATTGCCTCACAGCAAGAAGGTCACTGGTTTGAGCCCCGGCTGGGTCAGTTGACATTTCTGTGTAGAGTTTGCATGTTCTCCCCATGTTGCGGCTGGAAGAGCATCCAATACGTAAAACAAATGCTGGATAAGTTGGCTGTTCATTCCGCTGTGGCAACCCCTGGTTAATAAATGGACTAAGCCAAAAATAAAATGAATGGAAAAGTTGTCATATATCACTACAGACAAGAATATTTAACTTTAATATTATTTTTATTTAATATATTTAATATTAAGTTATTAGGAATTGAACACATTTTTTTTAAGTGGTCGGAAACTTGTAAATAACTCATGAAAGTTGCATTAAAACCAAACCATTGTTTTTCTTGTGAAATTCCCAGTAAGTTTGTGTCAAATGACCCTCTTCCTATTGAAAAAACTAAAGTTGGATCCAAGATGGCCGTCTTCAAAAGGGCCACTATGGTCACCACCCATCTTGAAAAGTTTGCCCCCTCACATATACTAATGTGCCATAAACAGGACCTTAATATCGCCAACCATTCCCATTTTATTAGGGTGTATCCTTATAAATGGCCCAACCTATATTACTTTAACACAAAAAATATAATATGCGATATAGTTCTAATACATTATCCTTCCCTGAACAATAGTCAAAAATAATCTTCTCATCAGCTAACATGTAAATGATGAATGCATAACTGGAATTTTTCTGAGCACGCCTTTGTGTCCTCCTTAACACAAACACAACACAAAAATAGATTTTTTATCTTTTAGATCAGTTTTTAACCAAGCAGACTTCGAGAGTCTCCACCTTTTGAAGGTTATTATTGTCTAATCATTAGATCTGGAACTCAAAGTGTTTCAGTAACAGAGAATGACAGAAGGTGTGGATGTATTGGGTGTGAGCACAATCAGCACAATCCTGATTTTGTAACCACGATAAAACATCCACAATGTATAGTACATATAATGAAGCCTTGTGAGTGTACGTTTGTCTCAGAGCACCAGGCTGAATAGTTTATTTTTTCAACATTAGCCTTAAGTAGCACTGCATACAGTCCTACTTAACATCATTACAGTAAATTACAGTCAATTTCCAGCCCTAGAGGCCTCAATCTGTGGCCTCTGAATGACCTGCTCTGGAGATGAGAGAGACACAAAGAAGAAAACTGATCAGACAGCGGAAAGGCAAACGTTATTACTATTGCCAGTGTTAGGTGTAAAGTATTAAAAAGTAATGCATTACAGTAACTAATTACTTTTTACAGTAACACTGTAGTTTAAGGCATTACTGATACATTTTCTGTAATATTTTACTGTATAAATGTAATTAATTATTATGGGTGTTGTAGTCTCCATATCGCACAGGACTCAGGCAGAAATGATTTTTCATCATGGATGGTGAGCTGATTTATTTCTTAGAATAGATTAGATTCTGCTCTTCTTCAGTGGCTATGTGGCTGTTAATCAAGACAACGACAAGGTTTGTTTGAGCTCCGGTCAACCATGGCTCATTATTATATGTATATATTGTAACGGTGTAATGTCTTGGCTGTGTATTTAAAAATGGCAGTTCAATTGTTGTCATTCTCCTGTCTTGTCGCACATGCTAGTGATGCTTCTCTGTAAACCATTGGCTTTCAGCTGCGCACCTAGCTCCGCCATTTGGTACCCTTTTGTCGTTCTTGGTACACGTTGCAAAGGGTACCCAGAAAGTGGTACTGCATGGTACAGTTCGCTTTTTGTTTCCTTTTGACAGTGGAGACAATCTGCTGGGTCTTAAAAAATCTTAAAATTTCCTAAATTTAAAAAAAACTAATTTTAGGCCTTTAAAAGTCTGAAATTTTGAGGTGTAGGTCTTGCATCTTTTTGTAACAGGTCTTAAGTTTCCTTTGTTCATGTATGATTACCCAATTTGGCCAACACTCATCCAATAAATACTGTACATAATAAAACTTTTAACTTATTTATTTAAGAATGCACTTTTCAGCTCTATTTATCATAATGGTTTAATTGTTTTCCTTACAGTATTATTTGTTTAAAAAGTTCTCCATGTGTTTACTACTGAGGAAGCTGACCTGGACAGACTTTTGTGCATACATTTAGTTTATTTTCGTTTTTAAAACCTTTATAACATTTTTTGTTCATTTTAAAGAAAGGATATGTTGAAAAAAAGTTTGTGTACAACTAGAGCTTGCTTGTTTTGACACAATATTTAAAATATTTTGCTCAATTAACTAAAATATATATTTTTTGAATGATTAAATTATCATTATAGTATTATTAAATATATATATAAAGTTTTATAGGGCAAATAAAAATCTTTAATGGTCTTCATAATCATAATAGTCTTGAAAACGTCTTTAAAAGTTCTTACATTTAACTTGCTGGAACCTGCAGAAACCCTGATTAAAGCATACTGACCTGTACCGTTCTGTACCACTCTGTGAAAACGGGCCATAAGGTTCTTGGAGAGTGTACCTATGAAAAGTGAGTGTAAGTGAACCATGCTAAAGTCTGAAAAATTGGCTTGACAGTTTTTCTCGTATAAATATGATTTTATCCTATGTGTGTGTCAAATGTAAAGAATAAACAACAACTTTGAATTATTAGAACATAATGTACACTGGATTGTACTATTCTCTTATAATTCAGTGGATCTGAATCGATTATTCAGAGAGCTACAGTCGGTTACCACACCTAAAGACATGTTTTTTGTCCTCAAACCACTGCTGTGTCTAGGACTAGTTTATTACGTAAACAATACAAAGTCTTGTTTTGATTTGACCTGCCTTAAACTACTTCAGCAGTGCGTTTGCCTCAAAATAATGGCACACCTTAGCTAATTATCAGCAAATCAGAATCAAGCAAGTTGTAATGAATGTGCATGACAGAACAGGACGTGGTTTGTGCTGTTGCTGTTTTTAATCAAGCTCTTGCTGATCTGAGGCTCTCTGTCGGAGACATAGAAGAATCAGGAGACTTCCTGGAAGGAAGTTCACACAGAAGGAATCCTCCATCCCTCTAATCAACACACAGACACACACTGCAGGAGCTCAGAAGTGTGAGGAACCGCATTGCTTTTCTCTGTGATTGTGTGTAGAAACGAGTCCGCTTTATAAAGTAAAACAGCTCTCTATTAGGACAGAACAAACTGGCTTGTTCAGTTAGTGATTTAACATGGAATTCCCTATTCATCAAATTCCCCGTTCAGAGACCTGTGAACAGGCCTGATTTTTTCTTTATAAGGCCTAGATGATGAAACAGCGAGTGAGTCATATTAACGGACTCATTCCCGTTTTAACCGCCAGCCCTCAGGATATTGGTTCCTCCATTACATCACAATGAGCCATGGGAAAATAACTCAAAAAGGAGGAGCATAAAGTGAGCTGCTGTTTCTGGAGCTCATCTGGAGGCTTCCTGAACATCTAATGTAACTGACACTGTTCTCCCAGCATGCACTGCCTCACCACTTCCAGGATATACAGGAGTTTCTGAAGGCATTAAAATAAAAGACGCACACAAACACACACACACACACACACACACACACAAACACACACACACACACACGCACACAGACTACTTATGATCAAAGACTCAGAAGCTCCCTCTGTGAATAAAGGCTTTACTGGTCAGGAAGAAGTCAAATGAAGCTGTAAAGACACTATTACATACACACACACACACACACACACACACACAAGACACAAACTCACACACTTACTTAGCATCCTGCCTGGGGCTGAGCAGTAAAAGAAAAAGAAGTGTAAGCCTAAAAGAAAGAGACTGAGTCACAAATACACAAACACACTGAGGCTTTGTTCAGACAGGAAGCAAAAATCTGATTTAAAAAATGTGCCTCAAATCCATTCTATAAGTAGCCTGAGCACCAAAACAAGAAGAAATCTGCTGTTTATGAACACATTTCAAACCCCACCCATGTGTTGTTTGAAATCTGACAATCAGGTATTTCCATGAGGCGTTCAGTTAGAGCTGGGCAATATTATCACGATATCATGTTTCATATCATTCGGTATCAAAAATTATTGAATATTTTTTAACAATACAATTAAGAATATTCCGATTTCTTTTTTATTTAACCACTTTATTTTAATTTACCAACCTTACTAGGGCAAATAGTTTCAATAGTCAAAAACAAAAATATTTCAAATATCTTTTCTCTTTATAATGAAATAAACATAAGAGACTCTTAAACTTGATAAGTGAAGTTTATTTATTAACTAATTTCAAGAGGATCATGTGCTTATGATTGCTTGCAGTCCACCTCGCATCATTCAATTTATGATTCGCCAATCAAACAATTCAAAGTTCGATATAACAGCCATCTTCGTTATCAAGATTGCTCCGCTCTGCATCAGCTGCTACTGCTACAAAAGTACTACTTCAAAAACAACAACTACATCTCCAACTATAACTCCAGCAACAACGTCAATGGCAACATTAAAACCTTCCACTTCAAAGTGCCTCACAACTCATCGTCACGGCAGTTGAACACTGCTACAGGAGCACACATAGCATTTGCAACATCAGCTGCTAATACACCACTTCACTTGTAGCGATTACTCTTACCTAAACATTTCACACTCTGCAGAGGTTTCATCTTTACTCCTGCAAACCCTCTCCTGGTACCATCTTTATAACTTTTTCCGGTTATGGCTTTGATCTTTATTGCTTTTTGGGGGGGTTCTTCAATACGCAGCTGCTGTACCAAGCTTATTAAGGCATCTTAGGGAGTTCTCGAGATCTACCTGAGCTCAAACTCCCCTCTCGCCTTGCAAACGGGAAGGGAGCCCCAGGCTCAAGGATCTTTTAAACTCAGGGTTCTCTTTCATGACAGCATGGCAAACAAGCTTTATAATCAATCATCAGCTAAGTGTGAACTCTTGAAATTAAATGTTACAGAGTGTGTGCATTGGTAAATGAAAATCAACATCTGTAAGGTGTGAATACTAATGATACAGTAAACCTCAAACTCTGAAAACAAAACAAATTAGGACAGTCAAATCTAAGCTTTTAAGGTAAAGGAACTAAACATTATCATTCAAATATATATTGCAACATGAAAATAGTGAAGTTGAATGACTACATTAAAAAAAATCATTCATATGAAGAGTTAGCGACTGGGATGCGGGAAAAAAGAAAGCAAAAAGCCAGTCTGGTGACATCCTTACATCCTTTTTTATTTACAATCTTCAACTGCTGCAATACGGCACCCATTTTCGCATGTGTTCGCATACAAAGTGTAAAGCAGATTAGTTAGTGAATCGTGCTGTGCTTAGGGCATTCGGAAAAGTTCAGATGTTTTTCAATAAGGTGCACCTGGAAAATGCACGCACATCGCTCCCATATGCGCGTCATGTTCTTGGCATTCCAAGGCGCATGCTAAGCAGCCATATTTTAATAAAACTATAGCCTTCATACCAAACTTTTTTTATTGTTATTGACAATGGTGTTCGGTCAATATACATACCGATACGGATTAGTAGTTTATTAATAGTTTCAGTAGTTTATGCATCAATAAGTGTTCGACTTTAAGATCTGTTTTCACTGGAAGTAAATTCACACTACCCTTCAAGAAATGTATACTTTTACAGATAAAAAATGACAGAGTTTAAACTGTGACAAAATGTTTTTTTAAAGGATTATTAATTGTATTTTAAATACATTTCTTTTGAATCATGGCTTCCATTAAAAAAAGACCAAAATCTTCAAATAGTAGTCTATGCAAAAACTAATTAAATGCAAACTTCAAACTACTTATTTAAAATGAGCTGAAACAACTAAATTCTTGATTTTTTTTTTTTTTTTTTTTTTTGTGGCAGCTTAATTGTTTTTTGTTCAATCCACTTGAATTTGTAACAAAACAAAAACTAATAAGTCAACTTAATTCATGTTGTCCCAATACAAATCAGCATTTGGAAATTATACAACTGTATTATTTAAGTGATGCAGAAAACACAAAAATAATAGCAAAATAAAATCTTTAAAAAATATTATAATGTATTATAACTTAAAAATTATTACTCAGAATATCATTAAGCAAATTTTAAACCGATGAATCAAAATCAGAGCTAATGTTTGAGAATATTAAAACAGTCACACATAAAAAACTATGTAAATATGAAATGTCAGTCATCCTGACAACAACCTTGAAAATCAACTCAGATTTGAGTGCTAGAGTAAACGAATCCTATTTCACATCTATGTAACAGATACAGCAACATTCAAATAAAAGTAAAAACTATGCAATGTGAATGGACACCCACACACACATCACTCGGGGTAACTTTTTTCTCCCTGTTGTTTTTCTATGTGGCACAAACTAATCCAGTCCAGTGAAAAGAGTCAGCAGTTGATCAGCAGGTCACAGTGAGACACCGGAGCAGCTTTAAAGGCTGAGCCCCTCGTCTCATGTTTCCATCTTTCTCACACACGCCCCTCAACTTCTGCTCTCTGTTATTAACACCATTTAACTCTTTAACTACAGTGTCAGACTGAATAATTACAGGCCTAATAAAACACACATACTATACTATATATATATATATCTCCAGAGGGAACGACTGTTGGCTTCTGTTGTGTGTCAGGACGCCAAAATGAACTACATTTGTTCTAGTTTTGAAGAGGAAAGACTCAATTGAGCGAAGCTGATTTAATTTGTGTGCTTATCAAAGCATAAAATGAAATGGAAGACAGAGAATTAACTGAGAAATCACAGAGAAAGCTTTAAGGCAGGGCTCTATGCCAACATTTTTTCTTCACGGGCACTTGGATTAAGTAGATTTTAATCATTTAAGGTCAATGTGTCATAATAAAACAGATGGCTTGAACAAGCAGCTGCTGAAAGGAAATGAATGAATTGAAAGTGATTTAAAAAAGTGATTTTGATATGTATTTTGAGGTTTTTGAGATGCATTTAGAGCAGAGGTGCAAAAACTTTTTCTTATGAACTTGATAAATATAGTTGGATACAGTATTTTTTAATACAGTCAAAACAAAACAATCTCATTTATAACAGAATGACACTAGTTTTTGACCTGACTTGCTCACCAGTGTCTGCATAGTCCTCTATCTGTTGAATGACAGTATTTATATTTTAAAGAAAATCTGATTTATTCACAGGATTATTTAATTCGAGTTTGCTTTTTTTTTTTTTTTTTTTTAAAAATTCAAGCTGCAAGCAGCAATGAAAGGGACCTCGTACTAACAAAAACATGTTTGAAAACTGAAGTGATGATCTCTGTGTTAAAAGCATTTGCCCAAACCCTTTCCATCATTCTTACTATACTATAAATTGGGATGGCAGGTCAAATCAAAGGTTACAGAGGGCCAACTTTGGCCTGTGAGACCTACTTTGGGCATCTCTGATTTAGAGACTTAAATTAAATTATATCTTCTAAAAAAAGCACATAATAGGCCCCTTTATCAATTTATTAGGTAATGAAAAACTCACCGTCTTGTATATGTGATCATGTTGTTATTGAGTATTTAATTTAGATTTATTACAGAAAAAATATTTACAAGATACATTTGAAGTCAGAATTATTAGCCCCCTTTGAATTGGTTTTCTTTTTTAAATCTTTCCTAAATTATGTTAAACAGAGCAAGGAAATTTTCACAGTATGTCTGATAATATTTTTTCTTCTGGAGAAAGTCTTATTTGTTTTATTTTGGCTAGAATAAAAGCAGTTAATAATTGTTTAAACACCCTTTTTTTCATCACACATTTTTTATATCACATTTTTTTCTCGACTGTCTACAGAATGAACCATCGTTATACAATAACTTGCCTAATTACACTAACCTGCCTAGTTAACCTAATAACCTAGTTAAGCCTTTAAATGTCCCTTTAAGCTGTACAGAAGTGTCTTGAAAAAATATCTAGTCAAATATTATTTACTGTCATCATGGCAAAGATAAAATAATTTTCAGTCAGTTATTAGAAATGAGTTATTAAAACTATTATGATTAGAAATGTGTTTAAAAAAAAATCTTCTCTCCGTTAAACAGAAATTGGGGAAAAAATAAACAGGGGGGCTAATAATTCTGACTTCAACGTATGTTAACATACATGGTAAAATTCATCTTCATTGATATATTTTATTTTTGATGATTATTTTTTAAATGTAAAAAAAAACAACAACAAATATTTGAATAACTCACAATACAAATTATTACATATTAATAACAGTTCAGACCTATGTAGCCCTACTAAGATGAAGACTGGTCATGAATATTGATTATATTAACAGAAAGGAAGGTGGTTTCTGTACTGGGTTGCAGCTGGAGAGCATCCGCTGTGCAAAACATATGCTGGAATAATTGGCGGTTCATTCCGCTGTGGTGACCCCTGATAAATAAAGAGCTAAGCCGAAGGAAAATGAATAAAATGAAAATGTAGGTGCACTAATCCTGATAAATTAAACATACTGTTATTATGAGGAAGCCTTGCTCATTCGTTCTGATGAAGCAAGGAAAAATAATAATGACATATATAATCATTTAATAATCATTTAATTAAGATTAATGGTCTGCTTTGATCCAAGGTGTGTGTGCTTGTGTGTTTGTGTGATTTACAGGAATAGTATGCCTGTCATTGTTCTCCTCTCTGACTCTTTCCTGAGAACCTCCTCTCACACACTTCCTGTGGTTCCTGACCACCAGTACATACCAAACACACTGATCACATACTGCCCGTTATATAACTCAGGTCAATACAGGGCAGAGAACAACTACGCTAAACAAAATGTACCATGGTTTTACTACTAAATAAACAAACAAAAAAAGGTGTGAACAAAAAAAGGGAGTTAAACCATGTTACGTTATTGAACACTGTACACTGAACACTGTTACACATCGTAATAAATTTGCCAAAAAAAAAACTATAGCATGGTTACTATACCTTAACCATAACAACCACTGGTTATTTATTTATTTGTTTATTTATTTATTTATTTTTTGTAAATGACAAGTAAGCTATCGTAGGTTGTTTTTCCAACCAAGTAAAAATGGTCATTTTTCAATGTAAAAATCTGATGTTGACAAGCCCAATGCAGCAATATTAGTTCAACTATTAACATACAGTAAGTCTCTAGGCTTGTTTCAAGCAACTAAACAATAAAAAGCTAAATCATACTAGCATTGTGCTAAAATGTTAGCAATACCTAGCAAAATGTAAAAATGAGAGTTTTGGACAAAAAGGCATTTATCAAGAAAACAAAACAAAGATCAGTATATCCTTGATAAAAAATTAACAAAAGTTTTATTGTAACAAATACAGGTGTGGTAACCATGTTTTGGACAAATTGATTTGTCATTCTTGTAACCACAGTTTTGCTACAACCCTCATGGTTAAACTGTGGTTATTGTAGCAAAACCTTGGTTACTTGGTGGTTACCACAGTTTAACTACAAAAAAGAATGATTTTTTGAGAAATAAGTCAATGCACATTATTCATTTTATTGATTGATTATATAGTTTGTACAATATAAAAATAATGTAAATGGAAATTCATGAAGTTAGCTGTACAAATGTATGTGTGCAGTGGAAAGCTAAATTATGTGAAATTATGTGAGTCCTTCTGTGAAATTTGAATTCTTTGTCAAAATCTCCCAACTGCTGTTTAACATAAAGATTTTTTCAAACATTTTCTTTAACATGATGGTTTTAATATAGAATTTTCAATAGATTTTTTTTTTCTTTAACTAAATTATATGCTATTTTACTGGTTATTTTGCTTTACAGGCTTACAGTAACTAGGTTAACTAATAAGTTATTAAGTCTTTGGACAGCTGTGGTTTGTTCTTTAGCCAATTGAAGAAAAGAATTTCTTAAGTTGGCAAATAATTGTAACAATTTATTTATAATGATTTAATTTCTGTCTATTTATCATACAGTGAAAGTCAGAATTATTAGCCTCCCCTTGAATTTCTTTCTCTTTTTTTAATATTTCCCAAATGATGTTTAACAGAGCAAGGAAATTTTCACAGCATGTCTGATAATATTTTTTTTTTCTGGAGAAAGTCTTATTTGTTTTATTTTCGACTAGATTAAAAGTAGTTTTTACCTTTTAAATAACATTTTAAGGACAAAATTATTAGCCCCTTTAAGCAATTTTTTTTCGATAATCTACAGAAAAACCATCTTTATACAATAACTTGCCTAATTACCCTAACCTACCTAGTTAACCTAATTACCCTAGTTAATCCTTTAAATGTAACTTTAAGCTGTATAGAAGTGTGTCGAAAAATATCTAGTCAAATATTATTTACTGTCATCATGGCAAACATAATGGTGGGAGGGTGAATAATTCAGAGGGGCTAATAATTCTGACTTCAACATTTTATATATATATATATATATATATATATATATATATATATATATATATATATGTGTGTGTGTGTGTGTGTGTGTGTATATATATATATATATATATATATATATATATATATATATATATATATATATATATATATATATATATATATATATATATATATATATTGGCAGAAATAAAATCAATAACTTATTATATATGCATAGTTCTGTCTGGTTGTCAGATATGATTGGCTGATAGCCGTGCGATATTTTGCAATAACAGCACTTGTAAAGCCTCTTCACCCTTCTGTATTACTCTGCCCACTTAGACAGCAGATCAATAAACTCTCTACAGTTTGACAAGTGTTGGACAACATAATGTACTTTTGAGGCTTTTTTTAGACAAGAATGTAGTTGTTTAGATTGCATCTCTGCAGTTTATTTATCGGGATAGTGCCTATTTTAAATATTTATCATTTCAGAGATTCAGCACGTTGGCGGTCATCAGCCTGTTATGGAGTAGAGCGAAGAAATTGATAGTTGATGCTCCGCCACAAGATGGGGACAGAGACCACATAATAAGACCTTAGAGAGAAAAACTCAGCATGAACTTCAAACTACAGGTGATCAAATCATTATAAAACAATTAAGTGACATTTTAAGTCAGTGTTTCTCTGGTATGTTGTATTGCTAGTGTTTGCTCTGCTTTGGCTTTTTCAGGGTTAATTATTGTGATAAACCGATTGCAAGAGAGAAATACTGAGTAATCTCTGCAGCCCTAAAATCTTAAAATGTGAGTAAAATCACCTGTTTTGTCAACATTTTAGACATTACGCTAGAGAATCATTCAAACACAAACTCTAAAGGGATATTGGTGAATTAGCAAAGGTTTCTGCTGTTCTGACATCAAATGCAGATGTGAATGAATGGCGGAAAAAAAGTAGCTCCTCATAGAAAAGGGTTTTTAGACTCTCTGTGTTGGATGTCTTTTGATATACACGATTATGTCATCAAACTGTTGTATAAACGCAATATCACATGAGTAACAGTGCGATATTGCTGTATATCGTCACTGGTGGGAAACTACGACACTGCCTGTGGCCTTGGAAAATGTTCAAAAATGGAAAATAACTTGGAAAATGTTCGAAAAAGAATTTAAATTTCAAATAAGGGTTGTCACGATACTGAAATTCGATACCAATAGGTACTGAGATTTTAAAAACATATTTCCTGGGAAAATTTAAGCGTTGTCAGCTTATATACTAACCAGCTGATTGATGCTGTGTCTTTGAAACGCTCCAGTGTCCCTGTGACTGTGGTTATACTCAGTAAACAGCGGTGAGTTCAGTGAACCAATGACCTTTCACGGCCAATCACGGTAATTTTTGTTGAGCACATGAACACAATGGCAAATCTGCACTTTTTAGGAACATGCTCCACAGCGCTTAAATGTTTGCGGGAAATGGATGTTTTTAAAATTCCAGTATCGATTGGTATCGAATTCCAGTATCGTGACAACCCTATCTCATGTACTTCAACTGTATGTGTAAACACTCTTACCCTGAGTGTGTGTATGACCACATCCTGCGCTTCCAGTTCTCCTTCCAGAATGCTGAGCAGCATCAGAAGTTCAGCTTTACTGAGAGTCTCCACATTCATCCTGCTGCCCTAAAACACACACACAGAAAAATTCAATATCAGGATCCTGAAGCAAAACCACTGATTTACAAGAGCCACAGGCCTGACAACGCACACACATACACACACAATGCTTAAGCAGGTCATGTATAACATAACTGTACCCAGACCAATGAAACAGGATCATACCACACACAGATCAATTTCACTGGCCTAGAAATGCAATAAAATTCCACACGTTGCATCAGTGATTTTCCCTTGATCTGACATGACATTTACGCGAGTCTGGCATTCGTGAGGATTAAAACACACACAGCAGTGTTCAGCGTCTCTGCATTATGGTCTGGCTCTCCTTCAGACCACATAAACACAGGAAGCTATTAGCATATCAGCACAGAGGTCTCTAGTGAACCAGTTCAACTTCCCTTCTGTAATGGATTCCCTCAGTCTATTAACACACATAAGCACACACACAAGCAGTTGTGAATAATATCTCTGTTTACTGCAAGCGACATGGAGGGATTTGCATGCAGCTGCAGTGTAATGGATGGTTATTAAGGTTTGGCTTGTTGTGTCTGAGTTTATATTTTCATTCATGATGGCGCAAAGGGACAGGAAGAAACCTGCCAAACATCTTAACACAATCTCTAAATATATAAAACGCTGCTAATTATGTTCATTCTCTATAATTATTCTCTAACCAACAGCTGAACAGCAGCATTTTCATCATCATCATATAGCCAGTTCATACAAAGTCATTGCTGCCTGCTTGATTCTGATTGGTCAACACAATCTCACGGCAATTCGTAACTTTTTCATTTAGTGGCTAATTCGTATGAATTCGTACGATCTAATTCGTACAATTTAGTACGATTTGCTTATCCCCCAATGACGGTTGGGGTTAGGGGTGGGGTCAGGTGCCACGCCTCCTTTTTAAAATCGTACCATTTTGTACGACTGAACTCGTACGAATTCGTACGAATTAGCCACTAAACTGGCAAAACGTAAAATACTTACGTTTTCTCGTGAGATCAGGCTGGATTGGTTGCAGGAGTGATTACTTTTCATAACGCCCCTGCAAAGAAGTAGTTCCAGCTTTGACAACTGCATATAATTTTGCCACATTCCTATCTTATTTGGGTGCAAAAGTACTCAGGAATAAAAACAAGAAAAGATAATTTAATGTGGTACTATAATTGATGATAAATGAATAATTGAGAATTATTGCACATCGGAGGTATAAAATTGACTGTGTCACCAACGTTTGATTACAAGTAATAAGTATATAATAAAATTATATATACATACAGTTCTGTCTGTTTCTCGAATCTGATTGGCTGATAGCCCCGTGATATTGTGCAATAACTGCACTCGTACAGCCTCTTCACCCTTGTGTATTACTCCACCCACATAGTGACAGCAGATCAATAAACTCTCTACAGTTTGACGAATTTTGCTGCTGTTGGACAACATAATGTACTTTCAGGATTTTTTTAGTCGAGATTGTAGATGTTTAGATTGCAGCTCTGCAGTTTACTTATTGGGATAGTGACTATTTTAAATATTTGTAACTTCAGAGATTTAGCACGTCGGTGGCCATCAGACGTCATCAGTCATTAGCTATGTTTCCATCCAAAAATGTGAATTAACTTTATGCGCAAAACTGGATTATCACATAAAAGGTGTTCGGATAATGCAGTGTTTCAATCCGAGTCAAAGAGAACAAAATCGTCACTTCCTGGTTAACTGGCACCAAAAATCAACAGTAAAACTGAATTTGCTGCAGTAAGCTGCATGAATCTTTTCTTTATTTATTAAATGACATGGAGTGAACGTGCGATTGCATTTGAAGGTGTGAGACGCAGACGCTCTTGACTATTCTGGAGGTAATTAATAATATAATAACACTAATACTGAAGCAATGAAGTTGTTATAAAAGGGCCAAAACAACATTTGCGATGTTTTACAATGTGCTCAGCAGCTGTTTTGTCCATTCACACAAGTTTTTATTATCACATGATCTCTTAATACAAAATCACTTTTTTTAAGCACATACAAGGTTACGCGGTATTCTGAAATGTTTTCAACTCAGTGCACCTGGAAAATCTGGAAAAAGTAACGTGCATGATGCTTGCGTTGCGTCGTGAAAATAACCTCAAGCATATTGGCCATAGGCTTATTCCTTCAAGATGAGCGCTCAACAGCCACATTTTAATAAAGCTATAGTGCTTCATACCAAACTTTTTTCAGCATTATTGACAATGGTGTTGGGTCAACAAATATCGATACGGTTTTATCGGGCCAGCTCATTATTTCTCAAGTTTTCTCATTATTTTGTACACATGTATGAAAAGAAGATAGTGTCACTTGACAGTGATTGTACTTCACTAATAAGACAAAAATACAAAAGTAGCAAACACGTTGCTTTTAACTTTCATTAATCTGTAATACGGCATGTATATCGTCTCAGAAGGTACCTTTATTCTAATTTTTTATTTGTTTTTTGAAGGTAAATAAAGGTGTAGGTTATACAGTGTGTTGTTAAACGCAGAGCTTTATTAAAAAAATACCCTGCAAGTTCTGAAAGAGATCAAGCCTTATGCAGGTACTGTATAAGTAACTCCAAAGTAATGTAACGCATTACTTACTATAAAAAGTATTTAAGTAACACAACTAGTTACTTGTTTGGGGAGTACCTCAACATTGTAATGCAATATCTTCATAAGTTACTTTCCACAACACTGTCACACTTAGGCATGGGCCGGTATGAGTTTCTGAGGGTGTGATAACCTTGGATAAAAATATCAGTTTCACAGTATTGTGATTACTGCTCTAAAATAAGTTCTTTTTTTATTTGTAACAACATTTTTCCCCTTATTGAAGACAATATATGTTATTTTAAGAAACATTTAAAATATTTTGTAACTGTAAACATGTATTATTAAAATACAGTATTTTTAATTTGCTGCAAATCGAAACACAGTAAAACAAATGAGCGCGAAACATGACCAATCAAAACTAGAGATTTTTAAATTTTTTTTGTCTGGAGATAAAAACACAAAAACAAGCAGCTGGTAGCTACAAGGTGTGTGCAAATGTTTCTTATGTTTCTAAAATGCTTTATATTCTTGGTTTAATTATTAAAATAATTAGTTACTTTTATTATTAAATGTAAATAAAACTAAACTTGTGTCTGTGCATCACTTAATGACGTGTGGTTAAAAGGCTAAAAAACAAAAATTAAAAACAAAACTTGCATATACTGTAGGATTGATATGACAGAACATTTTGGCGGTTTTAATACCTTGACTTTTCCAAACCGCTGTAAACCTTGAAACCGGATATCATCCCATGCCTAGTCACACTGTGTCTTTATTAGCAGTAATCTTCAAAAACGCAATGTCCATGGCATTAAAAAAATACATTTGTTGTACACCGAGTGCCATTTCAGTACGTGGAGTAAGTAAGATTTTAAAATGTTTTTCAAAGTCACTTATATTCATATAATTGGTAAAAAAAAATACAGTATTTTTTGATAGAGTAAAAAGTATTACAATTAAATACAGCTGAAACAACAACATACATTATTTTATTATTATATTTGTTGTTGTATTGAAAATAAACTTTCTTTTTCAAATTTATGCAATATTCCTTCTTATTCCTTCAGCTTAGTCCCTGTATCAGGGGTCACTAAAGCGGAATGAACCACCAACTATCCTGGCATTATGCAGCGGATGCCCTTCCAGCTGCAACCCAGTGGTGGAAAACCTTCATACACTCATTCACACACATACACCACAGCCAATTTAGTTAATTCAAATCACTTATACCACAGGTCTTTGGTCTGTGGGGGAAACTGGGGCACCCAGAGGAAACCCACACAAACACGGGGAAAACATGCACACTCTACACAGAAATGCCAACTGGCCCAGCCGGGACTCAAACTCAAACTCCTTGCTGCGAAGCGACAGAGCCAACCACTGCGCCATCGTGCCACCCCATTTCAAAAAATTTTTTTTTCATAAATTAACTATAATATGTTATCATTTTCAATGAAAAATACATATTATCTTTGAGTGAAAACTCTAATGAGCAGTAAGATCAGCATTTAATTTAAATACAAATCATTTTTATTATTTTTTTTTTATTTTAATTAATACATCTTTGCTTAAATATTACTTTAAAAAAAAAAAAAAAAAAAAAAACATACTGATCCCAAACTTCCAAATGGGACTCTCTAAAAAATACTTTAACATGGACAGATTTCTTCACAACCTGTCATAACTCACCAATATATGTTCGAATAAAGATCTAAATGTGGCTTTCGTACATGGTTTCTCCCTAAAATGAGCTCACTTCCTGTCATGGCTTAATCTGGCCTCACATCAATGTTACTAGGATGACTGCAACAAGTATGTTTTCCCCCCTTCTATTGAATAGAAAGTCAGCTCGACCAGACTTAATATAATCTCAGGGCAATGAGGTCACCCAGACATTACTAACACATTACAGCGGATGAGGGCCATTTGTAGAGCCAGAATGTGTGTGTGCTAAATCAGGAATGTACTTTTATGACTCTTGCAGTATTGCCAGTGGAGTCTGTGTGTGTTTTCGTCTGCTTACACACTGATTGGACACAGCTATATTCGCATTAAACTACAGTCACTGGTGTGACTTGATCTCACGCCATTAAATCTTGCCATTTATGGCTGTAAAATACATGATTTGTTTCCTTCTCATAAAACAAATATCATCTTGTCTCATGAGTGTCTCGTCACGCCCGTATTAGTTACAGAAACTTAGTTGTTTGCTTAAGAGTTACACGTTTATTTTCATGACATCATTGACTGATGCTTCTCTCTGGTATTAGTGGTGTGGCGACAAGTTATCAACAAACAACCATAAATAACTGTAATTAAAAAGGCTGTAAACACACAAAATCACATCATCTTTTCCATTTAATCTACTGAGTTTTGGCATTTCGGTTAACTCTTTATTTAATAAATCTAAATAGGAAACAGACTGCATCA